CACACACACACACACACACACACACACACACACACACAAAGTTTACTGCCCTCAGGCAATGAGGGGATGTCAGCTGACATAAAGGTTACCCTTTTAGCAGGTAGTTATTCTAGACTCCCCAGTTATCAAGGCCAGTCATTTAAGGAAAATTCATGCCAAAGGGGAAGGTGCCCTCAGTGAGTGTACACGCAATATTGCCTGTGGAGCTGGCCTTCTTTTTGTTGGTGGTGGTGGTGATGATGGTGGTTGTGGTGGTAATCATGGGGCTTGAACTCTGGGCCTGGGCGCTGTCCCTCAGCATTTCAGCTCAAGGCTAGCACTCCACCACTTGAGCCACACCACCACTTCTGGCTTTTTCTGCCTATGTGGTGCTGAGTAATCAAACCCAGGGCCTCATGCATGCAAGGCAAGCACTCTACCACTGAGCCACCTTCCCAGCCCCGATCTGGCCTTCTTTATTAAAAAAAAAAAAAACCAGCCAGGTGCTAGGGGCTCACACCTGTAATCCTAGTTACTCAGGAGGCTGAGATCCAAGGATCATGGTTCAAAGCCAGCCTGGGCAGGAAAGTCTGTGAGGCTCTTATCTCCAATAAACCACCAGAAAACTGGAAGTGGCATTCTGACTCAAGTGGTAGAGCGCTAGCCTTCAGCTGAAGAGCTCAGGAACAACTGAAGTGTTGCTGTGGCTCAAGTGGTAGAGCACTAGCCTTGAGCTGAACTGCTCAGGGACAATGCTCAGGCCTGGAATTCAAGCCCCACGACTGATAAAAAAAACAAACAAACAAACAAAAAACCCTCCAAGCCTGCAGTAGTGGTATTTGGTAGACACTATGTTGAAAATGAACTTTACAACTTGTGGGTGGGGATGGAAGGGGAAAATTGAGAGAGAACAAAGGAAGGGATGACACTGTCCAAAAAGAAATGCACTCATTACCCAACTTATAAAACAGTAACTCCTCTGTACATCATCTTTATAATAACAATTTAAAACTTAATTTTAAAAATGCACCATATACCAGGTGCCAGTGGCTCATGCTTGTAATCCTAGTTACTCAGAAGACAGAGATCTGAGGATCACAGCTAAGCCAGCCTGGGCAAGAAAGTCTTTGAGTCTCCTATCTCCAATTAATCACAGAAAAAGCCAAAAGTGGTGCTGTGGTTCAAGTGGTAGAGAGCTAGCCTTGAGCAAAGGAGCTTAGGGAAAACGCCCAGGCCCAGAGTTCAAGGCCCAGGACCAGAAAAACAACAACCAAAAAAAAAAAACAGCACCATACTATGTCACTTTACAAAAGACAGTGTTTCAAGGCCTCTGCAACTAAGCATGAGAACATATGTCTGGAGGTCTAGCTACTTTTAAGGTTAAGGTAAGAGGATGGCTTGGAGGTCAGGACCAATCTGGTCAATATTGCAAGAGCCTGTCTCAAAACATAAAAACTAAAGGGTCTCTCCTTTAGTTAGGGAAATAAATATTAAAACTAAAATAAGATAGTAATACTCACCCACCAAAATCTCAAAAATAAGACTCTAGAAAAGATAGTGGATTTCTGAGTAAGTAAAGTACTTGTGATTCTCATACACTGCTGGCGGAAGTGAAAACTGGTGTAACTATTTTAGAAAAACATCTTCTGACATTAAACGGATTTATACCCTGCCAGCATTCTATCCCTAGAAACATCTCAAAATAGAGGTAGTAAGACTGTTTCTAGCCATTATGCTTATTGGTAACCCTAAGGAGACACAATTCAAGTGCCTGGTGACACAGGGTGGATGAACTATAGCATACTCACATAATGCAAATGCCAAACTTCAGCACAACTTGGCACACATTAGTAATACATAACATACATGAATCTCAGAAACAAACTACTAAGCGAGAGAAAGTATTACAGACTAAGCTGGGCTAGTGGCTCAAGCCTATAATCCTAGCTACTCAGGAGGCTTAGATCTGAAGATTGAATTTCAAAGCCAGCTAGAGCAGAAAAGTCCCTGTGAGACTCTTATCTCCAATTAACTACCAAAAAACCAGAAGTGGAGCTATGGCTTAATGTGGTAGAGTACTGGCCTTGAGCAAAAGAATGCAGGGATAGCACCCAGGCCCTGAGTTGAAGCCAATGACCAAACAAAAATAAATAAAAGAAAGTATTACTGATGGTATGTTACCATGTGAAGTTGAAAAAAAGATAAAGTCTAGGCTAGGTTATGACTCAGTGGAAGAACACATGATTAACATGTGAGGCATTGGGCTCCATCATTAGCACCATTTAAAAAAAGAAAAAGAAAAGCAGAATGGATGGATATGGTAGCTTAGTTCTGTAATCCTAGCTATACAAGAGGGAGAGATCAGAGGATCAAGGTTTAATGCCATTCCCGGCATAAATGTTTACAAGACCTCATCTCAACCAATGACTGTGCATGGTTGCATAAACGTGGTCATCCCAGCTGCTGGGGAAGCACAATGGCTAGGTGTAATGGCAAACACCTGTCATCTCCAGTGACACAAGGAAACACAAGTATGAGGATCAGTCCAAGCTGGCCTGGGAAATAGAACAAGATCTTACCTCAAAAATAACCAAGATAAAAAGGTGGTGGAGGTATGGCTCAAATGGTAGTGCCGGCCTAGCAAGGGCAAGGCCTGAGTTCAGTCCTCAGTACTACAAAAAAAAATATGAATTAATCTATGGCATATGAAGGGCTGTGTATACTATATGTTCCTTGGCATGTGTGTGTGAGTATATAATTTTTTGGTGGTGGTGGTGGTGGTGGTGGTGGTGGGTGGTGGTCTTAGGGCTTGAACTTGGTGCCTGGACACTGCTCTGAGCTTTTTTTGTTCAGGACTAGCACTCTACCACTTTAAGCCACAGTGCCACTTCTGGTTTTCTGGTGGTTAATTGGAGATAGGAGTCTCATGGACTACCTGCCTGCGATGGCTTAGAACTGCGATCCTCAGATCTCAACCTCCTGAGTAGCTGGAATTACAGGCGTGAGCCACCAGCGCCCAGCTCATTAATTATAATTCAACCAAATGTCCATTTATTGGAAGGTTTATTGGGGAGGTGTAGATGCTGGGGATGAACTCACGACTCTGTTCATGCTATGTGCTATGTAGACCTTACATCTGAGCTACATCTCAGTTTTTCCAAATACCTGCATGATACCTTAATGAAAAGGTAACTTCCTTGTGGTTGTTGTTGCTACTGTTGGCCTAGCTGTGCTGCCCAGGCTGATCTCAAACTCCCAGGACTCAAGGGATCCTAACCTTGGCCTCCCAAGTAGCTGGGACTACAGGTGTGAACCACTATATTAGCTTAAAGACAAACAAACCAAGAAATGCTATGGTCTGAGATAAGCAGCAGCCTTGACATGGAGCTGGGGCCACCCAGACCCACGTGTGAGGCACGAGCCTACCTGCGGGCAGTTGAGACAGGTGTTTGAAGGCAAGGTGCATGTTCTCCCGGCAGCGGTTGTTGGGGTCACTCAGCAGGAAGGACAGGGCAAAGATGATGTCATGCTCTAAAAAGCTGATTCTAGAGAAAGGAAGATGTATTTGGGGTATAACTAAAGCCATTCCTGGAGGGGACCAAGGAAGAACAGAACAGGCCAGTGGCCCTGCCAGAATCTATACCAAGTGAAGCCAATGAAGACCAGAGGGAGACACCATGTGCCAGACTCCCAAGTCTGCATCTGAGCAGAGCAATGTGATTGGTGTGATGGTAAGACTCATGATCACACAGCACTGTCCCGCTTCTAACTGTGATGCAGACTTGGGTCCTCTGTGCCCTTGGCTTCTTGTTTTTGCCATCCTGAGCCTCAGTCAGTCCCAAAGTCTGTACAATTAGAATGAAAACAAACAAAAACAGAAGCCCATAACCCACATTGCTTGATTGTGCTCACCATCTCTCTATAGCTCCAAGGAAGAGAGCTGGCAGGCCCAGCCTACAGCCCTCCTACATCTCTGGTCTTCTTCTAGCTGAGTTGTGAGCTTCCAGAGACCAAATGCCTAACTTGGGACCTATGGATGCCTTTTATGCTTACTATAATTGTATAGAAGCTAATTAAATATTAGATATGCCAATTAGATGAGAAGAGTTTTATTAACAGGAAAAATTTGAATTTTCCCAATTCCAAGTGTTGAAGACTCAAAAGTCAATTGATGTGTGTGTGTGTGTGTGTGTGTGTGTGTGTGTGTGTGTGTGTGCCAGTGCCACTAGGAAACTATTCTGCTTGGGCTGGCTTTAACTCCTGAAGTAACTGGTATTACTGGTGTGAGCCATTGGTGCCTGGCTCATTTGTAATTTTATTACTGATGAAATCAGAGACAGTGCCACAGCTGCAAAGGTATCTACTTTGGGGTGTAAAAAAATCCAGGCTCCTAGCTTGATCTTGTCCCCTGTCTCCTCTCTTGTCTACCACTGAATGCCCCGCTGCTACCCAGAGGCCGTCCCCCGGAGGATCATCATTCTAATCCAGCATCTGGGGGAAACCTCAAGATATGAGGTTCAGAGCCCAGGCAGACAGTGAGATGAAAGGCTCATACCGGGGAACTCAGCATTTTTATTAGTTGGCAGGTTGTCTCATAAACTTTTGGCTGGACTGGCCTCAAACCATGATCCTCTCAATATCTACTTCCCAAGTTGCTAGGATTACAGACATGAGCCACTGTACCCAGCTCAGTTTATCTTTTGATTTGGAGTATCCCTTACTTTTTGACCTTGAATCATGATCCTCCTGATATATGCTAGAATTATACACATAAGCCACAGTACCAGCTTTGTTTCTTTTAAGTAAGCTGAGTCCATTGCATCTGGGAAGAGGGCTTCTCAGGTTACATTTGTCAAGCCCCCATCTGTTAAAAAAAAAGAAAAAAGAGCCTGGCACTGGTAGTTTGTGCCTGTAATCCTAGCTATTCAGTTCAAAGCCAGCCCAGACAGGAAAGTCTGTGAGTACGTGGAGCTGGGGCTCAAGTGGTAGAAGGCTCTAGCCTTGAGTACAAAAGGTCAGAGACAGTACCCAGGCACTAAATTCAAGTCCCAAGACTGGCACACACACACACACACACACACACACAGTACAAGTTTATAATCTCAGCTACTCAGGAGGTATGTCAGGAAGCTTGTGGGTTTGAGGTCAGAACAGAAAAAGTTAGCAAGACCCTATCTCAAAAACACATGATAGATCATTGCCTAGCAATTGAGAGAGACCCTGGGTTCAATCCCCAGTTCAACAACAAAAAAAAAAATTACTGAGCAACAATGGCTCACACCTATAATCCTTACTACTCAGAAGGCTGAGATCTGAGGATTGTGGTTTGAAGCCAGCCCAGGCAGGAAAGTCTGTGAGACTCTTTGTTTTTTTTGGGTCCGGTCGTGGGGCCTGAACTCTGGGCCTGGATGCTGTCCCTCAGCTCTTCAGCTCAAGACTAGCGCTCTACCACTTGAGCCACAGCGCCACTTCCAGCTTTTTTCATTTTGCTTATATGGTGCTGAGGAATCGAACCCAGGGCCTCAGGCATGCACGGCAAGCGCTCTACCACTGAGCCAACTTCCCAGCCCCATCTGTGAAACTCATCTTCAATGAACCACCAGAAAACAGACAGTGGCACTGTGGCTCAAAGTGGTAGAGCACTAGCCTTGAGTGAAAAAGCCCAGGAACAACTCTCAGGCTGAGTTCAAGCCCCAAGACCAACAAAACAAAAGCCTGTAACCATTGTGTGTCCACAGCACTGATCTTTCCCTACTTGATGCCAACTATGTGAATGAAGGTGCATTATAACCATGGCATTGTGTCACTCTACACCCATGTGCATACCCCCTATTCATACTACTTCATTCCAGGGCTGCATGCAGGATCAGATTGTAGCAGGTACCAAGGAGGACTCCCTGGGTCTGAGAGAGCTTGAGAGCAGGATACGGTGACTGGTTTCTTGGGACATCCCAGCACTGGTGACATGATGTGAAGCCTGTCTCAATAGTGGTTTACACCTACCAAGCCCAAAACCAGTCAGCACCTTGCCCTTGGAGTTGCCCTTCCTTCTTGCAGAGCCTGAGAATACTGGGCAATGTCTTCTTTATACAGGAGACTGGGGCAGGGCTTTCAAGGGTATAAGCAGGGTTCTACTTTTTGTGTGTGTGTGGGGGGGTCATGGGTTTTGAACTCCAAGCCTGGGCGCTGTCCCTCAACTCTTCAGCTCAAGGCTAGTGCTCTACCACTTGAGCCACTGCACCACTTCCGGTTTTCTGGTGGTTAATTGGAGATAAGAGTCTCATAGACTTTTTTTGCCTGGGCTGGCTTTGAACCACAATCCTCAGATCTCAGCCTCCTAAGTAGCTAGGATTACATGTGTGAGCCACTGGCACCTGGCTTTTGGGGGGAGTGGGAAGAGGGAAGTTCTACTTTTAATACAAAATAAAATGAATGACCTCTGGTAAGCAACATAGACTCGGCTGATATAACAAAATTCCCAAGGTTGCCAACCCAACTCCTAACCAAGTACTAGGTGAAAACTGTTAGTGTGTGTGTGTGTGTGTGTGTGTGTGTGTGTGTATGTGTATATGTGTGTGTGTGCGCGTGCACATGTGCGTGTGTGTGTTTAATTCAGAGCTTTGTGCTTGCTCACAGCAGGGACTCTGCTATTTGCCTCTAGTCTGGCATTTTTCTGTTTAGTTGCACCTGGAATCTCAGACTTTTTTTTCTGCTGGAGCTGGCTTCAAATCATGATCCTCTAAGTCTCAGCCTCCTGAGGAGCTAAGATTGTAGGTGTGAACTACTGTCACCCAGCCTAGAAGAAAAAGGTTTTAAGTATAAAATGTAAAGCTTTATACAGGCAAAGGGATATTTCCAGGTCAGAAACCCAAATAATCTCAGTATCAGAGAAAGACACGAGGCTACCAGCCCGGACCAAACGTGTGCTTTAATGCTGATATTTTAACACCCACGTAGAGACAGGAGCCAAAGCCACAGGCCCTGTGGGACAATCTAGAACATAGAACTTGGCTCCCCATAAAAAGCTTTAAAAAGGCAAAACTGTTTCAGGTGTGGAATCTGACCTTCCTTCCCATCATATGTGGGAAGCCAAGAATTAAAAGCTACCATAAAAATTAATGTGGAACAGAAAGTCCTGTTAGGCACTCACAGATGCAACCGAACCACCCCATAGAGAGGCATGTTCTAACCAAATAGAAGTCCCACCAAAGACCAGTGCTATAGACAAAGGCTCAGTACTGGTACTCAAGGTCATTCAAAGACATCCACCCAAGTGGGTGCAGCTTCCAAGTAGGGCATTTGAAACTCAGGAGGCTGAGTACGAAAGATTGCAGTTCAAAGCCAGCTCAGACAGGAAAATCCATGAGACTCATATTTCCAATGAACCACCAAAAAAGTCAAAAGTGGCACTGTGATTCAAATGAAAAAGCTAAAGGACAGCACCCAGGCATTGAGTTCAAACCCCAGTACCAGCACGTGTGCACATGCACAAGTGATCTTACACACACACACACACACACACACATCACATCACACACATAGTGGTATTAGTTTCCAAAGATGGCTGCCCACCTGCCCACACTATGGGTCGCTATGATGTGGAGCACCTCAGTGGTCTTTATCCGTACCAGGTCATCACCATCCTTCAGCAAGCCCTTCAGGCTCTCCAGACAACCTGTTGAGACAGAAAAAAGCCTTTGAACATTTGCCACTCCAGGAAGTCAGCTAGCCCAGAAGCCAACATATGAGTACGATTAGACAATGAGAAAGCACCAGAGATTTTATTGCTCTAGGACGTTGGGGAATCAAGTCGGTTACAGAGCGCTGGAGAATCACAAAAGGGGTTCACAGACAGGAATCATCTCATCTAGTCCTCTTTGCCATTCTCCCTGTACACTTTCTATTAGCATCTGCTCTCAACATCAGCCAAGGAGGTTAAGAAAATGGTTTTGTTTTTTGGTTTGCTTGCTTTGCCATTTTTTGTGTGTCTATGTGCCATTATTGGGGCTTGAACTTAAGGCCTCAAATTCTCCCTTGACTCTTTTGCTCAAGGCTGGCACTCTGCCACTTAAGCCACTTATCCACTTCCAGATTTTTGATGGTTAATTGGAGATTAGAGTTTCAGGGTAGCCAAGTGCCAGTGGCTCACAGCTGTAATTCTAGCTACTCAGGAGGCTGAGATCTGAGAATTCTGGTTCAAAGCCAGCCTGGACAGAAAAGCCTATGAGACTCTTATCTCTAATAAACAATTCAGAAAAAGCCAGATGTGATGCTGTGGTTCAAGAGGTAGAGCACTATCTTGCTGGGCTGGCTTCAAACTCTGAACCTCAGCTCTCAGCCTCCTGAGTAACTAAGATTACAGGCATGAGCCATTGACACCTGGATTGCATTTCTTTGATAGAGGTCAAACTATAACCATATCCCCAACTAGTCACTTGACCTCTAGTGAATTATAACCTAGAAATGTAAAATTTAGCAAATAAAGATCTTGCTTAATTTATTGATTCAACAATTTTAGATTCATACCCCTTCTTTGAACCTCAATTTTCTTTTTTCTTTTCAATTCAACATGTCAGTCTATGTGTATAATGCATCTTGATCCATGTCATCCCTTCCATCATTCTTCATTTCTCTCAACCCCATCCATTCCCTCAAGTTACCTGATTCTATTTTCACATGTACATTGAATATTATGGCCATTTTTTTGGCCATTTTTTACTGCCCTTCTTCTCCTCATTCATCTGCCCTCTTCCATTTGATCTGCTCTCTTCCTGACCACATATGTTTTAGCTTACTAGTATTCATTTTATTAAACTGTAAATTAGTGACTTAAAGGAGTTACACCATTGGAATCCTCCCTTTTGTATAACATGTTTTAGTCAATTTATATAAATATATCTGCAATGACTCTATGTTTTCATGTATGTTTATAATTTAGATCTAACATCTACTTACGAGAGAAAACATGAGCCCTTTGTCTCTCACAGCCTGATTTACTTCGTGTAACATAATTTTTTCAAGGCCTATCCATTTCCCTGTGAATTACATATTCTTCTTCTTCATGGATGAGTAAGATCAAGCGTATTTGTATGCCATTTTTTGATCTGCTCATCCATTGTAAGATATCTGGACTTCTTCTATAACTTTGGTATGGTGAATAGTGTGGCAATGAACATGGATGTGCAAGGTGTCATTACTGGATTCTGACTTATAATCTTTTGGATAAACACCCCAAAGTAGTATCTGAACCTTGATTTTCTTGTGTATAGATTTAGAATGTTCTTTCCCTTGTGGGTGGCCACGGTGAGGACTGAGATAAACCAGGCATTGCAATTAATGCACTGCTGGGTTTAAATCTGGCTCATTCCTTTCTACCCTTATTATTCAAGCTCCACCACTGTCTGAGTCATGCCATAACCCCAGTCATGGTCACCTGGGCGGTAACATTCTCACCTATCTGGATGGCCTCGTAGACATACTCGGGGTCATGCATGAGGTCACATAGGGCCACAAGGGCTTTCTGTCTTGTCAGCAGGACGGCTGATTGCAGTTCTCTGTTCAGCTTGGGCAGGGCTAGGCAGCCATAGGCAATTTCAGCCTGGGCAGGATTGATGTTGGGAGGTAGATACATGGAGATCTTAGCATGAGCCATCTTTACACAGCTGCAAAAGGCCTTCAAAGCAAAACTCTGCAGAGACCCTTGAATTAAAAGATATACAGAATCTGTTGTCATTACTACTGTGATTTAAAATCTACTTATCTGATCCCCCAAACTAAACTATGAGGACAGGCTGATGGCTGTGTGTGTGTGTGTGTGTGTGTGTGTGTGTGTGTGTGCGTGCAAGCGCACGCGCGTGTGCGCCAATACTGGGGGCTTGACCTCAAGGTCTAACATTTTTGCTTGGCTTTTTTGCTCAAGGCTGGCCCTTTGCCACTTGAGCCCTCTGCCACTTCATACTTTTGCTATTTAATTGAAGATCAGAGTTGAATTTCTCTGCCCAGTGATCCTCACATCTCAGATTCCTGAGTAGCCAGGGTTATAGTTATGAGCCACCAGCACCTGACTTGATGGGTATTTTTACTCCTATTCTACAGATGACCAAACTGGGGCTAAGGACAATGAAGAGATCCACTTAAGGTCACAGGGAAAGTAACATAACAACCCAAATTGCAGACCTCAGTGATCTCCCATGGCATATTACTTAATGACAGAAGAAACTACTGTAATAGGCTGGGTCTTCAGTCACTAAAAGGACTAAACAGAGCAAGCAAGCAAAGAGCAAGATGGTCTCTCCATTTAGTGATTATCAGTGCCAGCAATTACTAGTATCTAATTCAATTACCCCATAAGGAAAGGACAATATCATGTACATTTTACAAATGAGGAAACTATGATGATGTCAAGCAGCTCGCTGGAGGTCATGAAACTGGAGAGCTAGAAGCCATTGTTCAAGTCCAGTTTTAAGCCAGGCACTGATAGCTCACACCTGTAATTCTAGCTACTTAAGAGGTTGAGATCTGAGGACCTTGGTTCCAAGCCACCTGGGGCTGAAAAGTATGTGAGAATCTTATCTCCAATTACTCAGCAAAAAGCCAAGAATGGAGGTATGGGTCCCATGGTAAGAGTACCACCCTTGTATGAAAAACTCAAGTTTGAGTGTGAGGCCTTGAATTTGAGCCTCAGTACTGCGCGCGCGCGCACACACACACACACACACACACACACACACACACACAGAGTTCTACTAATTTACCTGTCAGGGACCCATATTCACATCTGCAAAAGGGAATTACAGTTAAAAGATGATTTCCTTTTATTCTACGCGTGTGCTTTGAGCAACTATAGACAGTGTGACTTAGTGGTTAACTGGCTTCAAGCCCAGTCCATGGGTGGCCCTTGACAAGTTTACTTCCTCCATCTGGATCTTTCTGCAGCTGTACAAAGAAAGTAATAAATAGTATATACTGGCCCTTTTCAATGTTGTCATATTAACTGATAAGCCTGGCTCACTGGAGCTTTAGATATATTGGCCGTGGTTATTATTATAATTGTTACTGCATTTAGTAACATGTACAGAACTAGTCCTAAAAGAACCTCTCTTAGAAAAAAGGTTAACTAGACTCGGGTACCCAGTATCAGATGACAAGGGGAAAAGAAGAAAGGGCTGGGAAAGATACAGCAGTACCTTATATGGGCTCCCCTCTCTTAGGCCTGAAACAGAGGCTTGACCTCCACTAAAGGGCACACGATGTGGGAGTTTTGCCACAGATGTTGGGATGTTGAAACTTGGACCCGGTGTGAGACGGGGCAGGTCAGAGCACAACCTCTCCCGCCCTCTCCCCTCCCCCAACAGAGCCCCTGATCCACAACCACCGCCTCACCTGACTGAGCCAGAGGTCTCCAGGCACCCGCCAGCAATGGGACGCGCCTGTTGCTAGGTAACCTGGTTGCCTAGCGACTAGGCAGCAAGCGCTTTGTCCAGCGTGCGCGCGCTTGTGCGCGCGCTTGTGCTCATTGTACTGCGCAGGCGCCCTATCTACTAGACCTAACGCTGGCTGCAAGGTGGGAGCAATACTTCTCCGCAATGTGCTAGACAAGAAGCAAAGGGAAATGACTTATTTAACTTTCTCTGTACCGGATGTTTTGCACGACTGACAGTAGAGCCAGGAAGTGGAAATAGAAAGGACTGGGGGCATGGCTTAAGTGGCAGACCACTTGCCAACTAGCAAGCCAGAGGGCAGGAGTTAACAACAAACGAATACATGCATACATACATGTCCTCAAATTCAGTAGCTTCCCCCAAATCACACAGACTTGACCCCAAGACTTGGCCCAAGCTTCTTGATCCGAAAACTGATAATGACAAAGATTTATCTGTTGACATATTACTTTTAATTACAATAGTTTTTAAACATTAAAAAAAATCTTTCTGGGGCTGGGAAGGTGGCTCAGTGGTAGAGCGCTTGCCTTGCATGCATGAGGCCCTGGGATCCATTCCTCAGCACCACATAAGCAAAAAAAAAAAAAAATCTTTCTTTCCTTTTTGTGTCTCTCAGTCCCATCACTCCCTCATACTAAGGAGCTTGAGAATATCTTTCCAGCCCCAGGCAAGGTCATCAAATTCCTTATCTCAGTGACCACAGGAGTAAAACAATGTTCAGGACAGCAAGACTTCCAACTTCAGATCCAAATTAATAAATAATCTGGTAGCTTATACTTACCATATTGGCACACTATCTCTCCCTAATTCTCTAGTTAACTCCAAAACCCACAGATGTTGGGAATTGAGCCCAGGGCCTTAAGGTGTGTGAGACGAATGTTCTACTGTACACCCCAGCCGCTGTTTACTTTGGAGTCCTCAAAAAAAAAAAAAACAACCTCCAGCTCACTAAAGATAATTACTATGTTCTGTTTCTTTCTCCAGCACCAGAAACCTACGAGGAAGCTTTTGTTATGTGTAGAACAAATGAGTGATTAATGGACTTTACATTCTAAAAGCATTTTTGAGCCCAGTGCCAGTGACTCGGCTCATACCTGTAATCCTAGCTTCTCAGGAGGCTGAGATCTGAAGATCATGGTTTGAAGCCAAACAGTGCTGAGAAGTCCCCATGAGATTCATCTCTCATTAACCACCAGAAAACCAGAAGTGGTGCCCTGGCTCAAAGAGTGCTAGCCCTGAGCAAAAGAGCTCAGGGACAGTGCCCAGGTCTTAAGTTCAAGCCCCATGACAGAAAGAACGAAAGGGGGGGGGGGCACTGGGAAGGTGGCTCAGTGGTAGAGTGCTTGCCTTGCATGCATGAGGCCCTGGGTTCAATTCCTCAGCACCACATAAGCAGAAAAAGCTGGAAGTAGCGCTCTGGCTCAAGTGGTAGAATGCTAGCCTTAAGCTGAAGAGTTGAGGGGCAGTGCCGAGGCCTAGAGTTCAGGCCCCACGACCTGGAGAGAGGTGGGGGGGGGGAGAAGAAAGAGAGAGAAAAGAAAGAAAGCATTTTCAACACAGAAAATTTAGTCCCTTAACTGGAAGCTAAATTCACAAAAATAAAAGAGCCAAGTTTTGCAGAAAAGGAAATTAGGTTTGTGAATTTACCAGGCAAAGGAGTGCAATGGGCTACTATCTCAAAAGCTGCAATCCTTATCCCAAAATCAGGTTAGAATTTAAAAGAAAAGGAATTGGTGCTGTGGTTCAAGCGGTAGAGCGCTCTCCTTGAGCTGAAGAGCACAGGGACAGTGCCCAAGCCCAGAGTTCAAGCCCCAGGACCAACAAAAAAAAAAAAGAATTTTAAAGAAAAATCCCTGCTTCTTTCCAAACTGTTGACAGTACATGGGCTAGACTTCTATTTATACTTGTTGAGAGGCATGACTTTGGACTGCTGATTTCCTAATGCACTGCTGTTAGTCTCTGGAAGTATATGTCTCGAACATTCCTTCACTCAGCTCGTCACTGAGATAAGAAGCATGATGACCTTGCCTGATGCTGAAAAAAAGATGGGCTTAAGTTCTCCTGGTTGGGGGGGGGGGACAAAAAAATCTTTAAACTTTCATGGTTGAACAAGGAGTGCCTGTGGCTTATGTTTGTATTCTTAGCTACTCAGGAGGCTGAGGTCTGAGGATCATTGTTCAAAGCCAGCCTGCGTAGACAAATCTGAGAGTCTTATCACCAATTAACAATTAACAACCAATTAACAACACGGAAGTGTGGCTCAAGTGGGTAAAATTCCAGACTGGAGGGGGGAAAAATGGTAAAGGAGAGTACAAAGTCCTGAGTTCAAGCTCTAGCATTGGCTCAAACAAATAAATAATATTTCTTCAATGGATCAAGAAAATCACACACATACACACACACACACACACACACA